CATGTTATACCGTGACAGCGGGCCCAGAACAGCAAAATAAACGATTTGAGCCCGGGACATGCTGCTTACTGTCAAACGCTGCTGTTAGTATAGGCCTTGTCACTGGCCTGAAACTACCTTAGCAACCTGAATTAAGTTGAAAAACTTTCGTTTTTCTCTGAAATTTACAGTTTTCTTCATTCGTAAACTTAACCGTAAACGTCGTAAACGTCTCCTAAGTAAAGAAACAACAACAACAAAAATAACTCACACAGGATGGCCCATCATAGCTTCTTCAAGACATGATTTTTGACGTAGAACTACGTCTTTGTTGACTATACTGGGGTACAAATCAAAAAATATGTGTGGTGAAATAGTGTTAGGTTTTGAACGAGGGGCGATCAACTTCATAAATCTGGAGTCCTTTTTGATTGGGTCGTATGTAACATTTTTGTCAATCAGAGAGACGGGGTGTTTTGTTTTGATGAACAAAAAAATGTTTCTATTTTCAATTAAATGAATAATTCATTCATAATTCCCATTAACTAACATCTCAGAAGTGTTGCTATCAACTGAGTAAGGTATTGATAACGTTCCTGTTGAAAAACAAACGTTTTTTAACCAATCAATATTATACGACCTTTTGCATGCCGTGTTTTTACATTCGACCGTGTGCTTTTTAGCGGTTAAAAAAATGTATTATTTTGAGTAATTACTCACGAAAAGCGTAGTTATCATTTTAAAGACCACCCACAACCATTTTAGATTGAATATTTGCTAAATTTTCACTTTTATTAGGCAAAAACAACAGGTCTTATGTACAGTTTTTACGCTTCTGTCAACTTTGTTACATACGACGATTGACACCCCCATAGAAGTTAGGTGTCGTATGTAACATTGAGCTATGTTTTGGTCAGTTGACACATACGACGAATAGTTTTTTGATGAAAAAATGAAACAGAAATGAGGTAGTGGGCCCAAATTTTACCTTTAGAAAGAGTAATCAGAGTAGTGTCTAGTAGCATTAAAATGTCAATTTGTTTACGTTTGTTACATACGACCCAATCAAAAAGGACTCCTGAAATCAGCTGAATTGTAAATACACACTTCGGAAAATACACAAAAAAAACGTAAATGCGTACACGCTGAAACTAAAATACCATATTAAAAATACTCAAAAATACATCGAAAATACTTTGTATACGAAAAATACGTTTCATAATGAATTTAATACACCTTATTACAAAAATACACAAAACTTTCAAATACATATATACGGAAAAATACAAAATACATCTTTTCAAGTCGGATAGATGAATCGAAAATACTGAAGTTGACAGCCCCTCGGTTTTGAACGCCTGTAACTTTGTCATTCATAAATTAAATTAAAATCCAAATACGCCAATCGATAGGATATTACTTAACGAATCTGCTGAAATAAATAATTTTCCAATTTTTGATCAAAACACTTTTGAAAAATGCGCAAATGATAATTTTATCACTGTTTTCATGAACTAAACGTTTTCCCCAAACCCAGTCATCATAAACAAATACCACCTGGTTGCACATCATTCTGCTTGAACCTGAAAAGATAAAAAACAGCGCTGCTTTCCTGACTATGTTTATTACCACTTCGGACGGCGTGGCACTAGGTCCTGCAGCAAGCAGGACCAAGTCAGCGGCAAAATGGGGATCACGGCGTGATCATGACCATCACAATGAAGAATGAGACTTTATGTATGTAAAATCTCCTCCCCCCCCTTAACAACAACCCGAAAAATACATGGACTTTGACGATCACTGTTTTCCGGGAAATAAATTTTAAGCAAACCACAATTAGGGGTTCTTCATTAACTACGTAGACATTTTTTGGGATTCTTGACCCCCCCCCCCTCCCCCTGCGTAGACAATTGTCCATACAATTTTTTTAATTTTTATGGGCTGTGGATAATTGCCAACCCTCTTCCCCTTAAACTCTGTCTACGTACTTTATGAACAGCCCCTTATAACTAAAAACAATTTTTTACACGTAAAGCCAAAATTTAAAAAAAAAATGCTTGAGATGAGACATACATTCGATGAATTACTAACAACTGACTGTAAAACAAATTAAGGACCATGGCATGATTCTGGATACAAAACTCTCTTTCAAGCAGCACATCTCGCACGCCGTCGACAAAGCTTCCAGAATCCTAGGGTTTATCTTCAGGATTGGCAAAGACTGCACGGATATCTACTGCCTTAAATCGTTGTACTGCTCCTTGTCTCGCTCCATATTAGAATACTGCTCGGTTGTCTGGACTCCTCACTACAACAACGGTGTCGAAAGAGTTGAGTCTGTTCAGCGACGGTTCCTGAGATATGCGCTACGTAAACTGCCGTGGACGGATCCCTTCCGATTGCCTAGCTACGAAAGTCGTTTGCAACTTATCCATCTGGAGCGCCTGTCGGTCCGAAGAGATACAGCAAGGGCATTGCTAATTGCGGATATTTTTTAAGGACGCACCGATTGCACTTTTCTCCTTGAGCAAATTGACATCAAGGTTCAACCCCGATCCCTACGGAATAATTCAATGCTGCGCCGGCCCATACAGTGAACTAATTATAGCATGTTCGGCAAGGAATCAAAAATATCTCCAAATGACAAAATAACAAGCGATCAACGAACCGAATAATAACGCTATGTCAGAAGTGGAAAGCAATAATGATATAATCTTCACCGTTCTTTTTCATGACAAGCAGCCCGTGCGACACAACTCATTCGGGGCGGTTCTTCTGAAAACGAGCAAATTGTTGGCAAGCTGCTTCACGAAGTAAAGCCGAAGATGATACACGTGTGTTAATTGGAATTTTTTTGTTATGTCTTTTCCCGATTTTAGTTCGTTTTTTTCTAGATCAGTTTATTTTGTTTAGTAATGTTCCGTTTTTTTACGAGATGACTATCTATGTACTTATTGATGTTTTGTTTTAGTACTTTTCATGTTTAGTTTAAGTTACATCATTGGCCTGTTTGGCCTGTTGATGTTCAGTCATATAAATAAATATCTCGTACCTCTATATCTAGATAAACATTTCAATAGGTCCTATCTGCATTGATCGATTCTCTTCACCGACTTTCTCTTTCATCAATAACTCAGCTGCAAAACCTTTCCCTGTTGTATTTGACGTATATGTATGCAATAGATTAACATCCAAAGTCCATCCTTTTTTTTACATATTCTTCACAAAAGAAACTTTCTTCCCCGCCCCATTCATAAAAAACGGAGGGAAATCCTGTCAGGTGCGGTTGCACATCTTTCTGCTTGAACCTAAAAAGATATAAAACAGCACTGCTATCGTGCCTCTGCCCATTACCGGTTCGGACGGCGTGGCACTTGGTCCTGCAGCAAGCAGGACCAAGTCAGCGAATAAAGGTGGATCACGGCGTCTTTATACATGCAATGACGACATGGTGAATTCACTCAGTGTGGCTTCCTGCATCATACACGGAACGAAAACATCAGCAATATTTCGACTGATTATTGTATTGCTCGAGCCCTTTTCAGATGAATTCGTCATCCACATGACTGTCCTCCAAACAAAGGATGATATTTATTCGAAAATTGTCTGTAAAACAAACAGGGGTCAGAGGACAACAATTTAAGGAAAGGATGACTTGCAAATGCTTTAGATTAGATTATTATTTCGGTTGTTTACATTTCCATATTGAATAGCCATGAACAGCCATTCATCATGGATACAAAAATTACTTGTTGGTAGCGGAAACTTTCTCCACCACGAAATAGACAATCACACTTAAAACTTTTCGTCGAGATTCCAACAGCCGAGACTCAGCTAACAAATATCATTTTATTGAGATATCAGCTAACAAACAGATATTTTGCATATATGTCAGCAAAAGTAAATGCCGAAGTAATCGGCTGTTGGAGATTTTACCGAGTTAGTGTGATCTACGGTTTCCACGCTTTACCAATGTTCATACCACCTCTGATAGCGATGGCAATGCTTCCACCTCGTTTGTCTGCTCAGAGCAGCAAATGACGTACGAATACCAAATGCATTTAAATTTAAGATGACTAACATTCTGCAGAGAGCATTACGCATTTCAACTGAAGGCTCTATCCCTTCTGATAACAATGTTCATCCTGTATTCGAGAGGAAAATCATCAATAACCGCCATCCGGTTGTAGCTATCATTCAAGAAGGCGATTTCGATGTTTCCATTTGAATGGTCTGAGGTTTCATTCGAACAGAGGACGATGGTTGATACAGTGTACGTCACAACAAAAACGATAATGTTGAGGGTTGTGGACAACAAAAACGATAATGTTGAGTATACGTTTATGTGCAATCGTTGGAAAAAGTAGTGCATGATGTTGTTGGCCATGGTGAGTGGCGCTAGTGTGGGGGAAAATCACGCCGATAGCACTGCTGCTGCAGCTGCTGATGACGACCGGAAATCACACTGTTCGGCGAGACCGGATGGAATTCGATTTTGAAATTTGTGTTAGGGAAAGCGCTTTTTGCAGGCAATCGGGGATAATTTTGATCACCATAGCAACAGTTGGACATTTGTGTAATTTTAATAGTGACTTATTGAAAATTGATAAAGTGTTAAATTTAGAAGATTCTTTGAAAAATTTCCAGTTGATTGGCTTGTTTAGAATGAAAATTCATCTACTATTGACAAAGTTCGACAAAGTTCGTAACGCTATCGATTTTAGTTCTTTGAAATTGCACCCCAATATGTTGCCGAAAGACGTAATCCTACGTAAAAATATTGATCGTAAAAAAATAGTAGGAGTATTCACATAGCGCATCGTAAACGTATACACCCTCGTAAATGCGTAAACTACCATTACACTTCATGACGCTGGTATTTTTATAACAGTGTACATATGCTTACGATGCGCGTAGTGAATAACCCTAGTATATCAAATTATATTTGCAGCAACTGTTTAAAATCTAGAGTTGTGTTATTCCATATGTCAGTTCTAAAATATTCTCTTTTTTTATTACAGATATGGCATTCAGCTGGCACAGGCGCTTACTAAACTTGTAATGCAAAGAGGGTACGTGCCGTTTGTTGTGATAAGACCCGAGAACGACGCTTCCCGTGGTCTTTATACTAAGCTAGGATTCAGGAAAGCATTTGAAAGCGTTAGAGGAACATTCAAACCATACATTTACAACGTGGAAGATGACAAGGAAAACGAAGAGAATAAAAATCAAGATTCAAACTGTGACAGGGAGAAAAAGAACTGTTGAGCAAAGCAAAAAACAAACAATATCTATTTATCTTCTGCGCACGTATATTTATAGCTAGCGTATTTCAAATGCAATCAATAAACAATTTGCTTGATTGAATAATATCCAGTTTACATTCCGGTGTACATAATTTTAAACTGTCGGTATAGTTAAAAACCTAAATAATCCACTCTCGTTATGTACATTAAACATAGTTTCGGAAGCAGTACCATAGAGGTAACTCTAAGACCAGAAGCTCTCGAAGAAACGTGCGGTCCCAAGCTAATCAATGCACCCCTCGAAACATAGGAAAATCTATAAACCCCTCTTTCTATCTGTCACACTTTCATATAGAATCAAAACAAACATAGTGTAGTACTAGAATTTCGACAAGAATGGGGTCCGTTAATCGACTTGCTAGTGACTAATAGCTATGTCCTCATCCGTGTATGTTGCAACAAAGCAGGCAAGCAATATATCATTATCCTTCTACCACTCGGATCGAGCTTTGTTACAGAGCGAGTTTGTCATGGTAGTCGTAGCAACCGTTTTGTCTGTATCGTTGGTTGCTTTATGTGTTTGTATTCGCTGATGTTCGGTGCAATCGGTGGTTTACTGAGACTCTTCAATAGGGTCTCCGCACTGTTTGATTTTGACCTGACTCGCCAGCTGCTTCACCGGAGGTTTAGTTCGTTTTTTTCTAGATCATCAATAGATCAATACGAAACTAACGATTTTAAATTGGCTCACTACTTGACTAGCCTATTGGTCCCAAGCAAACGATTAACGTTCCCCATTCTAGTCGAAATTCTAGTACTACGCAATGTTTGTTTTGATTCGCTATGAAAGTTTGACAGATAAAATGAGGGGTTATTGGTTTTCTTATGTTTCGAGGGGTGAATCGATTAGCTTGGGACCGAAGAGAGTACCAGAGCTGAGCCAAAAAGTTGAGCACGTTATTTCGGGACCTTCTAGTCTTAGAGTTATCAATACGAAACTAACGATTTTAAATTGGCTCACTACTTGACTAGCCTATTGGTCCCAAGCAAACGATTAATGTTCCCCATTCTAGTCGAAATTCTAGTACTACGCAATGTTTGTTTTGATTCGCTATGAAAGTTTGACAGATAAAATGAGGGGTTATTGGTTTTCTTATGTTTCGAGGGGTGAATCGATTAGCTTGGGACCGAAGAGAGTACCAGAGCTGAGCCAAAAAGTTAAGCACGTTATTTCGGGACCTTCTAGTCTTAGAGTTACCTCTATGCTAATAGGCTAGTCAAGTAGTGTGCCAATTTAAAATCGTTAATCGGTTGGTAGTACGCTGTAATCGCACAATGATACGCTATACAGCGTACTACTTCTGACACTATGTTCAACGTACAGAACGAGAGTAAAAACGATTGTCGCTAGTGGGCTATTCTGGGTTTCAAATGTACCGATAATATGACCTATCTTATTGCAGTATATCTTCACTGGTCCATTAAATTTCATCCAAAATCCGAACTGTCAAATTCACACACACATAAAATCTGTATGAATATGGACCAACAACATTCTTGTCGAAATTTACAACTGGTAACATTTAGGATAATTTTTATGGTGAATCATTTCCTGGGTAGTTTTGATTAACGAACTTTTGCATGAAAAACTTAAAAATTATCCATAAAAATTCAGAAAACTTTTCCAAAATATACTAGATTTTCATTTACCGGTGCTGAGAGCCTTTCTCGTACCTTTTCTTAAATCCTTTTCTCGTTTTTTATTTCGCTAATGTTAGATTCTAGCCACTTCCTCTAGGCTACATGTTCAGGTGTGACCCGGGTAGGTACCCATAATTCATCATGTTTCAGAACATCACACCATGGTTCCCTCTCAGGCCATTCATAACAAAAATGACATCAAGAAAATCGTGTTTCCTGCTCGTCATGATGTGGTCTTATAGCGAATTTGTTTATTATCGGGGTTGTAACCAAGGGTTGCGAATCCGAGCTTATTGCAAGTGCAAACCTCAACCTGAGGTAGATTTTAAAAACAAACGATCAAACTTACGTTTGTCATAAAACAAGTAGACCCGATCCAGGTTGGAACTGAATAATAAACAAACTCACTATTAGATATATATTTCAAAGTGTATTAGGGTATAGTCGTATAGTGCAACTCCATCGTAATCGCCCATTTCCTTTCAATCGAGCAGAAAACATCAATAATGTTAATGTTGCACAACTGAATAATACCAACAATCAATACGAAACTAACTATTTTAAATTGGCTCACTACTTGACTAGCCCATTGGTCCCAAGCAAACGATTAACGTACCCCATTCTAGTCGAAATTCTACTACAACACAATGCTTGTTTTGATTCGCTATGAAAGTTTGACAGATAAAATGTATTTATTTATTGATTTATTCGTCAATCAATCAAATCGTAGACTACATATTAACATTAGGACTTATGTTCTATGACTTCGCAGGGTTCTGAAATATATTTCATTCCCACTAAAAAAACTTATCAAAATCTAACCCCCTTAAGTACTCTGTGAGCTTGACTTTTTTACCTATGGAATGAGTATTTAAGGGGGTTAGATTTTGATAAGTTCTTTAGTGGGAATGACACTGATGAAGACTGCACATTGTAGTCGAAATACGTATCTGTCATGGATAGCAAAATTAATTAAGTGGAATTAAATGAAAGATAACCTTTTTTGCTGTTTTATTTAAGCATTCCGCTAACAACCCAATTTCATTACTTCATTATGATGGCTTTGGGATTTTCCTTATTAAAGAGTTGCATAGATTTTTCTCCTTTAGTTTACTTAAATCTTTGGTTTTTATTAGTTAGGTAGGTTCCGATTCAAAACATTGTAGTTTCATTTTTATACCTGTGATCTTGACTTTTTTACCTATGGGATGAGTACTTAAGGTGGTTAGATTTTGATAAGTTCTTTAGGGGGAATGACACTGATGAAGACTGCACATTGTAGTCGAAATACGTATGTGTCATGGATACCAAAATGAATTAAGTGGAATTAAATGGAAGATAACCTTTTTTTGCTGTTCTGTTAACGTAGTTTTTGAAACAGCCCCTTATGTATTTACACTCATTACTTTAAAACAAAAGGAGCGTTTCTAGCAAATCCATTTTTTAGCCTTCATTAGTAGAACGAAGAAAACCTAAAAAAACGAATGACTTATCAATGCGTTAAGAAGGAATTGAAACTCATAGAACGAATTTGGAATCAAGAATCTGTGTTAGATTTCTAACTAAAGGGTTTTCCAATAGGGATTTTCATTGCGGCCATATTGTGGAAGCTTCAAGTGTCAAACTAGCTGTCATTTATTCAGTGTGTCTTGCCAAACTATCATGGAGAGTTAAAGTACAGAGGTAACTCTAAGACCAGAAGGTCCCGAAGAAATGTGCTCAACTTTTTGGCTCAGTTCTGGTACTCTCTTCGGTCCCAAGCTACTCGATTCACCGCTCGAAGCATAGAAAAATCCACGAACCCCTCATTTTATCTGTCAAACTTTCATAGCGAATCAAAACAAACATAATGTAATACTAGAATTTGAACTAGAATGGGATACGTTAATCGATTTGCTTGGGACCAATAGGCTAGTCAAGTAGTGAGCCAATTTAAAATCGTAAGTTTGATATAAATGACAAAATTGTTTTATCAAAGTAAGTGTTCTTTGTGAGCAACGTTCTGAGAGCCTCGCCCATATTACGGTCGCAATAATCTTCCTACCGAGAGGACTATTCGCAACCTGCGGCTGATTGGGTTTGGAGCAGTTGGAAACAGATCCCGATTTTGCCCGAATAACCTTGTTCAGCGACGAGGCCCAGTTTGGGATGAACGGGTATGTGAACAAGCGAAGCAGAATTGTTGGATTTGGAACAACGCCAATCCACACGAAGTCCACAAAATGGCAATGCATCCCCAGAAAGTTACTGTTTGGTGTGCATTTTGGACCGTACTTCTTCAAAAACGACGCTAACGAGGCCATCACCGTCTATGAAAGTTTGACAGATAACATGAGGGGTTCGTGGATTTTCCTATGTTTCGAGGGGTGCATCGATTAGCTTAGGACCGAAGATAGTACCAGAGCTGAGCCAAAAAGTTGTGCACGTTTTTTTCGGGACCATATTTCATACAGAATGTTATTGATAGGCCTTTCAATCGAAAAATAAATCGCGTCAATATTTCACACACAGTTTGTTTTATTCAACTTTAAAGATAGGAAACGCCTAATTGAAAACCCTTTATATCTCAACAATTTGTGACTTTTTATCAAATCCAACAGTACGTATCGAATGGTAAATAAATTTTTAGTAGCATCACTCCATTTTTGGGTTCATATCCGTTCAAAAAAGGTGGGTAAAGTGCGAGCTGTACTCAATAGAACGGAAATTAGATCAAAAGCCCTACATTAGGGTAGAGCGCTACTTCGTCGTAATCGCCCATTTCCGTTCTATCGATCAGAAAAGATCAATAATATCAATGATTTCACCGTGCACAAATCAATAATAGGTTTGTTCCGATGCGTTAGTTCATTAGCTACAACATAAATCCTGTTAGAGCGCAATGTATGAATATTTGCGCTCATTGTTCTCAAAACAAAAGAAGCGTTCCTAGCAAATCCCCTTTTTCTACGTTTATCCGTAGGACGAAGAAAATCTTATGGCGTTTCAATGCGTTAGGACGGAATTGAAACTCGTAGGACGAATTTAGAATCAAGAAGCAGTATTAGATTTTGAACAATATCTCAACAATTTGTGACTCTTTATCAAATCCAACGGTACGTATGGAAATTCGTTCAGAAAAGAAAGGTAAAGCACGGGTTATCCTTAGTAAGACGGAAATTAGATCAAAAACCCTATTTTACCAATTTTGAAGAGATTTTCTCGAAATCAGGTCGTATATGTGGTTGAATTTGGTATAAATGGTGTGACACAGAGGCGCATCCACGATTAGATATATGTATAGGACAAATTATGGGCAGTTGCAAATTCCTGTAGTCTGTTATTTTCTAGTTACATAAATATTGTTTTAGCATAAGTAAAACATTTTTCAAATATATTTTAACCACAGACAAACAGACATAACACATTGAATATTTTTCACTGTAAAACATCGT